GAGGAGAACACTATTTACAGATTTATTTAGGTAATGTAGTGTAGCAGTACAGGACTGGACAAGCCAAAAGTTTTTCTGATACCAAGGCCTGTACCACTGCTATTGCCAGAGAAAGCCAAGACAGCAATATCATATTTGTCCCTAAGGAATGAGTTGAACAAATTGTTCCAGCCAATCCAGACAGCAAGAGAAAATGAGATACTTTCATTGCTAGAAGTTGATACTTCTCACCATGATAACATCTTCCTATCCAAAGATCTCAAACTGTATAGCACTGGCAGTACTGTTACTCTAAAAAAAGCTAATGTTCCTTTGTGTAAAATGGGCTCTACACGGCGCAGACATGGTATTTTGAATTGCCAGGCATACAACAGATGTAAAAGCAGTATGCGAGCCATGACCCCTAAAAACAAACACACATCACAGACACCTTCTCAGATAAATATTACCCAACTGTCACAAAAGGTCCAGCAGATGCACTTCAAGTCAGAACCAGCAGGAACTTCCTTCACAGAAAAAGGGGATCTCAGACATCAGTTTGCAGAGCCCAGTGGAAGTAGCACTGCATCTGCAAGCTAAAAGCAAGATGTCTTTCTCAGTCATGTTCCAACTGGCAGGTAGTCAGGGAGACATTTCACCAGAAACAGAAGAAAACAAGAAGTGTTTGGGGAGAAGAACACTGACAAAAAAGTGCCTTTTCCTGTTGTCTCCGGTTCACTTGCATTTGGTTTATCAAACAAACTACAGAAGTGATAGGAAGAAGAGTTTCCTGTCCAAGGTGAGTTAGCACTGGTTACTATTTCTGAGCTTTCCAAAGAGTCTTAAACAGAGTAGCACATCTACCCGCAATCTGGAAGAGAAAGTTTCAAGCAAAGAGTTAGCCCAGAAGAAAAGCAAAAAATTACTACTAGGAAATCCCTTGGTTAAAATCGTTTTTTGCTGCTTCTTCCAGCTGAAGTGAAAAAAAAAACCAACCTCACACAGACTCCCTGTAAGATCCCAGAAAATATGAAGTAGGATGCTATGCACATTCCCTTTGCGTGATCAAATGCATTAGCATGGGAGCCCTGTTTTTGTTCAGTACAAGAAAGATCAAGAAAACAGGATGATAAATAATGTATAGGAAGAACATGTCCCTTTAAGATATGTTGGCACAGAGGATAGACTGGAAGAAGTAAAGCAGCGTTAGGGTGTAATTACACAGAGGGCTTTCAAAAGTCTGCATTTCATGAAGATTCAAAAGCAGAGCAGAGACTTCTTAGGTTTGTAATGAACAAATACCAGTAGCATTTCAGCATATCTATAAAATCAAGACTAGTCCTAAAAGAAGCATAATTTTACTCATTTAGCTGTGGATTAATTGGCAGAAGAATGACTGATCCCTCTTCCTGTATGGGTCAGGAGTGAGTCAGATGAGGGGAGCCTCAAGGTACTCCCAAGATTGAAAGTAGATGCCTACATGGTTGGGACAAATGAACAATGGAATAAAGTGGGAGAAAAAAATATCCTTGAAGACTAAAATATTCTGGAAGAAGAACTGAAGAGATGGTCCTCCAGTCCTCCACAATCAGCAAGACTGCTAGGCTGTGGAGAGCAGTGGAATACATACCCAATTTCATTTCCTAGAAACACTCACTGCCCGCAAAACACTGTTTCATCTGTACAGAGCTACATGACCACATAGTTTTCATCTCTGAAATTTACTCAGGTAAGCTAAACCCCAACAAAATTTGCTCCATTACCCATAAAAATAGTTGTTGTAACTGGCACAAAGTGACTCATGGTGAAGTGGGGCATTGAAATGCATCATGGAAAGGCCATGATTGCTCTTCAGTGGTGAATCCAGCAAGAGAGGTCCATGAAACACCACTCTATTGAAAAGTGTGCCCTCTGAGAAGAGCTTGGAGAATATCTAACACCCATCCTTAGACACTAACTTCATTATTTCTGAAAAGTTAAAGAAGTAGTTATTTTATCCCATACACTCTTAAAAAGTCACTTGCTTGGGCCTACTCGTGAGCTTTCTAAACCCTGGGCTTGGTCTTGAATTTTAAGTGAGCATAAACAGGGAAAGGACAATGTGACACACTGGACACCCTAATAACAAGCCCCTTCATCTCAAATCATTGCATAATATTTCAAAATATGCACATACTAATCCTCTCACTTAGAATAACCTAGAACAAGGAAAACACTGGGAGAGTGCACACAAACCTTCTGGAGTCTCACAAATTATCTTCGAGTTCGAAGACACTGAGATTAAAGATAAAAATCAAGATCAAGCTTATTTGCTTGGCAGAGCAGCGTAGCTGTGAAAGCACAGCCTGAACAAATGTTGCCAGTTGCATGGGTGAACAGAAATCTACTGGGCAGTGAGGGCTCACCACTAAGCCCTGGTAGTCAGAATGTATGGCACTTTCATAATAGGAGAAGTTTTTTTATTCTGAGCCTACCTACACCCACATTGCCGATCATTTATTCTGCACTTTAAATAAAGAATCCCACATTTCAAATCTTAAGAGTTTCACAGCTCTCAAAATTACTAAGCCTGTTTATGCTTTGGTACAGGGACACAATTTGATCTGCTAAACTCCGGACATTCTATAAAAGAAAAAGTGAAAAAAAGAAGAAAAAAAGAGAATTACTAGCTCTGTATTTTTTTACAGAAAAAAAAGCCTTTTTCTATGTTTCAGGAAATCAGAAGCTCCACAGAACACTCAGTGTGAACAAAAAAGCCATTGTATAAATAGACATCTTTGAAAATAAATGGGAAAAACATGATCTCCAGCACCTAAGTCAATCAGAGAGTGACAATTTTGTTTCTTATAATGATCTTGAATTCCTACTTATTCTTTCAAAGGTAGAAAAGGAATAGGAAGTGAAAAGAAGATGGTTATCATGTCATATGAAGAAATACTACAGAGAAGCAGTGTGAGCAGTTTCAAAAAGTTTGGAAGACCTCTTGCTCACCATTTAATTTTTTAAGTATATATGATCAGAAGTTTAGAAAAGGCCCTGAGGAGTCAGCTTGAAAGTAGGTGCAAACCAAATCTGATCTGGAGAGATGCCTGAATGACGATTTCTGCTGGGTATTTCAGAGCCACCTTGCCTTCGACTCTGGTAAAGAAATCCTGTTGGTGGGTGGAGGTCGCTGTAGTCATGCTTTTTACCTTTCTTAAGCTCTTGTTTACTGACTATTTGTTCAGCTGACTAATCTCAGTATTATTTTCTGTGGAAACTTGCCTGTATCAGATGGAGCATCGTGATTCCCAATCATGTCAAGTGCACAGGTTGTACCTTCATTTGTCCCCAATACCTCCTCTCAGTGATTAATTCTCCGCAACCCTCACTTAACAGTGACCACTGCAACTTGCTCAGAACATGGTAGTATACTTCCTGTTCATCAGTTTCTGTAGTAAAGAGCCTTATTCCTGATATTATGCATTGTTTTAACTTTGGTAGTCTCTAAAGAGGGAATGCATTTTGAGAGTTTAAGCCACTTTATAAACACCAACAAAAAATCCCAATCTCCTTATAAAATCCATGTAGTACCAAGTATTATTTGCTTCTAAAATAGATTTCTGAGGTCTTTTAAAGTCAATATTCATTCTAGTTACACTAAGTTACAGAGAAAGGTTAACAGTAAAGCTAAACGCCTTGACAAATTGTTTGATTCTTCTAGTAAAATTGCCTTTATACTGTCTTGAATGGGTTGTCCAGGTTTTGCAACATGGATGATTCACACCAAGTGAAAGCTGGAAGTACTTTGTTGAGAGCAAAAGAGATAACATATTACTAAGAAGTCATATTTTCTTGTTAAAATGCCATCTATTTAAAAGATCTGTTCATATAAACAGATGTAGCAAAGTGGCTTGTATCTTACCTCCTCTGCCAAGATGGTCAAACCCACACTAGTCTTGAACTGCTTGTGACCCTATTTCCAGAAAAGAAAAAATTGAAGATTTTCCCCTCAGACTTGCTGCAGTATTTATCCTAGTTACTCATTTACCAGTGAGAATCTCTGTTGTTTAAAAGCTGAAAATGAGCATGGGGCAAGAAAATATACTGCAAGTTGTCCTATCAGTCAAGCTAGCAAATTAGACCTCATTTGGAGATTACACAGACACTGGTGTGTGGAAAAAAACAAACCCAAAGAAACCCATAAAAAACCCTGAAACCATGGTCAATTGAGAAAGAAAGCTACTCCTATGTTTTGAGATCTTCTTCCATCGCTGCAGTAGATATTGTTGTGAAATACTCTGCACATTGTTTGCCTCAGAAAAAGATAACAGGAAGGCAAGCAAGCAAGGAAAGATTTTCAAATGGCATCAAAAGACAGAAACATATAACCACTGCAAGCGCACACATTACCAACATATCTTTAATGAAGCTTCCTGGAAGAGTTTTAGACATTGTGCAAGACATCATCAAGTTGGCAAAACATACAGCCATCAGCTGAGTCAACATCAACAACACTGAAAACCAGTAGACAGCTTTTCCCCAAAAAAATCTTTCCAAATTAGTAGGAAGAGAGTATCTGCGCTAATTATTATATTCATTATTTAGGGACTTATGCAGGTTATAAGGAAGAAGCATTCTATTAAAGCATTCAACAGGACAACAATCACACAAGGAGACAAAACAGTTCAAATTCATACTCATAAAAAGGAAGAATGAGTGCTGCTGAAACCAGAAGCAGTCTCTGCTTTGATACAAGCAGCTCTGATTAAGTCAAGCAGAATTTGTTTTTCTATATGCTTTTAAAAGCTCTGTTCTCCAAAGTGACTGCTTCAGATGAATGTTTGTAATAGAAGAGGTACTGAACGGTACGAAACCCACACACATTTCCGAAACATGCTCAGGCAGCCCTTGGCTAACCCAGCGAAATCCAGCATTCACAACATAATCAGCATGTGTCCAGCTCCATTCTCCATGTACCCTGCCGGTTTCCAAAAGCCCCCCTTAGGCTGGCCCTATTGGCAGTGCCCCGATGTACTTACTATTCAGTGAAGAACCTGGCAATGCCATACTGACTAATATCTTCCCTGTTCTCCAGCAGCTGGCTCACTGCATCCTCCATGTACGTGAGGACATGTCTTTGAGCTGCAAATAAAAGAGAATAAGAGACAGAAATTAGAATACAAGGGACCTGCAGAGCCCAGAGCCAGACCGGCCTACTTGTGTGCCTTACATAACAAGCTGAGCAGCATTTGCTCCCTCAGTTAAAGAGTAAAGGTTTCATTCTCCCGGATATCAATAACAAAATTCCTGACCTAAATCCTGCTTTCTTTCCTGGCTACACAGAGTTAGTCATTGACAGTGCTGACCCTTTTCCAAAATCCCCTGAGATTCTGAAAATGAAGGAAGAGGAGAAGGAGCTGTGAGACTGCCTTGCTGGAAAACACTTACACAAGAGGAGTTCCTGATCTCTGTTCTGAGTCACAGCCATCTTTCCTATAGGGACTGTCAATGCTGTATTGATGGGGCTGTTGCAGAGCTTTAGGTGTTCCCTGCCCTTCCCTCCTTACCAAAGCCAAGTAGCTCTAAGGTTGTTCTGTAAAGTTTTTTTTCCTAAAGGTGCAAATAAAAGTACCTCTGTTTCCATACAAGCATCAGTGAATGTTCTTGGAGTGGCAGGTGGGGAACAGGTCTCAATGCCAAAAGAGATTTACATTGCTCAACAGTCAGTCTCAAATAACTGCCTACACCAACCAGAAGGACTTCTCAGAAGTGGTGGATCTGGCAGTACCCAACCACAGAATGCCACTCACTTATGAGACTCCTGCGTAAAGATAGTTTGGTACAACACAAACCATTTTGCTGCTTCCACAGGGGGCAGACTCTGTACAAATCAAGCATTTGCCAGGGAGGAAGCAGCACAGATTTGCTACTGAGCCCCTTTGATGTTTCTGGCTAGAAACCAAGTTGGAGCAACAAAGAGCCAAGTCTGGGCTGATGTGCCAGCTACCAAGCAGTAGACTTTCCAAATCTACAAGTTCAACAATCAGAAGACAAGTCACAACGAACCCAGGAAAATCATTCCTAACCTGGAAAGCACACAAACCCTGTTCCCAAAGCACACACCTCCATCCTAAACACGTATGCTACTGCACCCTTACAAGTAGTGTCGTGTCCTAAAAAGAGCAGGAGAAAACCCTTAGGGGATATAGGAAAGGCAAGGGCTGTTCTTGCTCCTTGCCAATCTGCTCCAGACTTGGCAACATCATCCCCTCACCAGCAATGGCCAACCTCAGACCCACATCAATATTCTTCAAATCATTTTAATTTGTGCTTAATATCCTGGTAAGCATCAAGCCTGTGCCACTTGACACACAGCATGGAAGTCCCTTTCATCTTAGTGTGGGGCAGGTGGACTTCAAGAGAGGCCCGGAAATGATTATTCCCAGTGGATACAGTGATTAAAACTATGTACGAACATTGATTGCTATCAGAGGATTTCTCTGCCTAGAACACTTTTCAGGACAATGGTAAAATTGGTTAAGCACACCCTGGAAAATACCTTGCAGCTGATAGCAAAATGGTGAGCCAAAGGTTCATAGATATTATCTGGTACTAAAAGATACAGGGCGTATCTTTATTTAATTATTTTAATGCAAAGGAATAAATTTAATTTATGTGAGTGATTAAAGAAAAATAGCTCTGCGCACCTGTGTCCCCCGAGGGAGGAATGAGTCGTGCAGCTCAGTCACAGGCTCAAGATAACAGCAACTGGGTAACTTATTTCAGCCCATCCTTCCTCCCTCTTCATTATGCAGCCCATCCTGCACTCAGAAACTGTCTTCCCAGACCCCTCTTGTGCTGTCAGTCGTACCAGATTAAGCCAGGAAAAGGTACTAACAGACGGGCTTCCACTCACCTCAGCCTGCAATAAACTTCTGCTCCACTGCAAAACCATTCTCAAAACTTTGTCGGGAAGTATACATTCCTTTCATAGAATAGCCCCTATCAATGAAACATATTTTTGTTATTTTGTTTTCTTAGAGTCATTAACCTTTCCCCTAAAAGCCTATGGGAATAGACAGACAGGGTCCCACGGTGCTACACAGCACAATGCAGCTGACCTCTATAACAGATACCTTCGAGCCTGCTCCTGGAGAATAAATTAACTTTCAACACAGAATTTCAGACGTTTCTGTCACACTTTAAAATGTACACTATTATATATAGGTCACTGTTGAATACAGTTGCTGGTAAAAGGGCATTTCTGTTAAGCTTTTTGTTGTACAGCCTAAGGATCCTGGCAAAGAACCTCTCTCCCTATTTCCCAGCAGCTAGGTAGAGGAATGGGGGAGGGAAGAAATTGGTGAGCAGAGAAGCTGAAAGAAAACAGCACTTGCAATCTCCTGGAAAAGTCTCTCTCTTTGGCTCTTCAGCTGCTGTGCTGTTTTCCAGGTAGCACAGTTCACATTGCCAAACCAAATTCCAGCTCTGGCTTCCTGTTCGCTGGCAGCCCAGTTCCATGAAACGGTACAAGTAGTATGTTTTATAAGCCAACCAACTCTACTGTTACACAGAAAAGTCATAGAATAAAATTTAATTTGCAGGCAGGTTCTAGCAGGCCAGAGAGGCAAAATAATGTGCCAGGAGTCTGGTTATAGCAAAATAGTAGTTCCATAATTTATACAAACGGTACTTTCCATAACAAACACTGAAACCATACTGGAACACTAACTATTTATGCAAGCAGAGTTAAAAATCTGTGGGGTCCTGTGCAAAATAAATTAGATGATTCATATGTTTTAATAGTTTTTGAAAACTCAGGAAGATAATGGTGTATTGGTATATATGCTGCTCATATTTTTGAAGCTCAGTTTGCAATAATAAGGCAGCAAGTCCAAATCAGAATGCAAAGCCTAAATACTCATGCAACTGTGCTACTACAACTTGCTGTCTATACCAATTTTCTTCCTGACAGAATTCCAGCATACTGCAGCTTCCACACAGGAGGTATTACAACAGGTTATCATCCTCAGTATTTATTGGTTTATGGCTTATTGCAACAAAGTTTCTCCTCCCTACTCATACAAAACTTCCCAATGCAACACATATTTGCTAAACTCTTCCCTAAAATCCCACGCAACTACCCGAAACAGTAAGTGTACCTGCCACACATACTTACTAGTAGTAGGTGCTACTCTTTGCTGTCAGATTTAAGAACTACAGGCAGCTTTCACAGAAGGATCTGACAGAGTAAGTTCACAGAAGAGTCTTCAGACAGCCCGTGACCTGATGTTAAGTAGATACTTTTGCACAGAATATCTTAATTCTTATCACTAAACCATTAGCAGTGATGTTACACTTAGAGCCTCTGTTCAATCAGTAGCAATACGTACAGTACAGCTCCTCAAAGCTGGCTACTGCAGCACTTAGGAGAATGGCCTCTGATGGCATTACCACCACATTCACATACTCACACGCCCACTGTTCAAAGTGAATTTTGGAATTAATGCACTTTTGGCTCAGATCCAAATTTAGGGCTGAACAGTGACTGCTCAATTCAAGCATGGCCAGACCAAGTCAAATAAATCTCCTCCAGTTTACAGGTAAAAGGTTTACATCCACAATCCAGAATCTCTATGGACTTCACTACAACAGATTAGACTGCACCAAATCATTTTGCACGTGTATTTAAAATAATAAAACCAGTCCTTTTATAAGCCACTGAATGACTTGTTCCAATATTCCTATGAGAGCAAACTACCTGCTAATTCATAGATTCGCTTACAAATATGGTGAGAACAAGCACCGATACTTGAAAAATCTTGAAGGAAAGGGAAAACTTAATGCAAATAATACCACTGCAGGAAACAGAATATATGCACTGTAATTCTGAAAGCCAGAAATTAAAGAGGGAAAGGAAGGAAATACAAGTCACCTTTAAGTAATGATATTGCATATATGGAATATTTTTATTATCAGCAGTGCTCCAGAATGGAAATTTAAAAGGAATAAAATCTTGAAAGTGCCACAGTACTGTGTGTCAGTTACATGATACCTGCTTCAGCACATAATGGCAATACAATCATGTTAACCACAGCGGTTTTGCGTATTAGTTTCCCAGTCAAAAACTTAGATGCATCTCCCCAATGCTACATTGATAAGAAGCTTCTCTTTCCAACAAAAGTTTGCCTTTTCTAAAGGCAGTATACCAGCACGCTTACCAAGAAGCGATGCTGCCTGTCATACTTGAAAGAAATAGCAAACATGGGATGGCCAGAAGGTGCAATAAAAATAGCAACGGATGCTGCAAAAGAAAAATTAAGTGTGTCAAACGACCTGAAGAGTGAGTATGACTGGAATAAATTGGTATGAGATAGGAACACACATATCACATACCTTGTTTAAAGCAGCAGCAGAACAGAGCTCTGCAGCAGAGTTAAGTATTTATCAAATTATCATCAAATCAGCTAACTACATTATTGCTCAACTCTTCATGAGAGATGACTTCTTCTGGAACATGAGCTGTCTACCAAAACAATTTGTACTGTATGTACATTTTTTTTTTTTTTTTTTTTCTTTTTTTTTTTTTTTCCTAAAGCTGGTTCATTCCTGACATAACTGAATATGTTAAAAAAATCAGAAGTGGGAACTCCTGGATAATAAGACCAGCTCTTATTAATTATTTGCTTCCTCCTCAACTGAAGTGCCAAAAATACACACTATTTGATGCAATTAACATTATCATTCATTTCAGTTACCAGAAGTTCAAGAGCACAACAAGCTTTAATGTATTTGGAGTATTTCTGGCGGTTTTTAAATCTCTGAGAGAATATAAATTAACAGCTAAATTCCCTTTCAGAATTTATCCTGAACTGGAGCTTAACTAAGGACACTACCATATCACACACATTGAAAAGACACATCTATAGTAACACAAAATCCATTTCATGCAAATATTACCAAAGCAATAATGCTGCAAGAGGGAATTAGGATACAAACTGCAAGAACAAAATTGTGTCAACACTCGAAGTTTTTCCAGCACTAATGGTCTTTCAGGATGCTCTTTTTAATCTTTTCAGTTATCATCAGGGATTTAATCTCTCCAGATATCGCTAAGGAATGGCCTGAGCAAGAGAAGTATGTAAACAAAACAATCAACCTGAAAGCTAAATCACTGTACAGCTGTAGTTCCTTCCAGCTTTGCACAGCTTCACAGTGTAATCTCCTCTTAACTCTCAAAAAAAATTTTTTTTGAAGGACGGAACATGTAATGAAATACAAGTAGACCTTGGCATACAAGAGATAACACTATGATGAGAGACACGCGCTGCTACTCAGGGACACATGCTAAGTGGCCACAAAGCATAACTATCCTGTATTTCAGATGCTCACTTTCAACAAAAAAATTTACAACAAAAAACCACTTTCAACAAAAAAATTTAAGGAATGTTTCAGTTTAGAATTTAATCTTGACCATAACTGAAAATTTGTTTCAAACAATTAATGAGTATATTAGTCACAAACCATGACATCATACTCTTTGAGTTTGCACTCCTGAGGCTGCACCCAGACCAACACAATTGTCCAAGTCCTTCCAGCAGACTGCCTCCTACAAGATGTCATACAGCTGCTAGAAAACACCACCTTGCCAATACAAAATTGTTGAGCTTTTTCTAAAAAAAAAAAAAATAAAAAATCTGAATTTATGCAGTGTATTATTAATACTGTGGAAGTAATTATCATTCCAGCTTGTTATAAGGCATTAAATCACCTAACAGTTCCCCACCTATTCATACTCAAATGCAGAACTGTGTACTCTCCAGTTCGAGAGCTCTACCTCGACCAGGATCAGATTTCACCTGTTACCTTTCAAGTTAAGGGGGAAGTCCTGTAGTGCAACAGCAGGTTTGGGGGTGAAACCTCCATCTTTTGGAGAAAGTACTAGACTGAGTTTAAGAAGATTCAAACTTAACTAACTTTTCTACATTATGCATTAGTGAGGAAGTCATTCATCTTTCATGTTACAGTTTCCTATCTGTACACCGGAGGAAGAAATTAAAAAAAAAAATAAAAAAATGCATTCTCTTTTTTAGACCATAAGCTCTTTCAGCCAGAGTGCCTCCCAGAAGCTCATTAAATATCTAGATTGAGGAGACTCAGTGTTAGCTAAGATGTCTGTATAATGACATAACCTGCACATTGATTATGCTGTTAAAGAAACCAATTGCACTTTCCAACTCAATATTTGTTAAGACTGTTCAGAAGAAGAGTAAACCCTAGGTATCTGCAAAGTCTCTACACAACTGGGAGTTCTCTGCTACTCAGTGTTGTAAAGCACCAATACCATGAATGTTCTTCCTAATCAGAAAGCCCAAGACCTCTATGAGAGAGTTGAGGAAACACAACCATGTTTCTGGCACTTAATAGCCCCATGCTTTACTGATAAGGCACTCTCCCAACAGAGTATTTGTGTTCTTACATGTCTTACACTGGCAAAAGATGAAAAGAAAGCACATCCTGGAGTTGGGGAGTAGAGGAGAGGAGAATCCAGAGAAAAATAAAAGTTCAGAAATTTGCAATATCTACTGCTTCTTCTCCATAAAAGGAAAGGGGAGGGGGAAGAAATACAATTTGGAGCTTCAGAAGACAGCTGCATGAGCAGAACAATACACTAAGTTTTCCAATGCCTGCCATAAATAACTGAGCAATCACCAGTTATTAAACCATAATGAAGAAGGCATGGAAAAGTGTCTCAAATAGGCCTCATTTTGCCTACTGTTGTTCTAGTCTCATCCATCAAGTGAAAACACATTTTCATCACTATCCCCAAACACTAAATGTTGTTTATCCAGTGAAAATACTGTTTAAAATATCCTGCTTGTTACAACATCTTCACTTTCTGCCAAGTTGGCCTTTCTGCCAACTCTGCAGACCTCACCTCCTTTTCTGTTCACTGAGTATTGGTCATCTCTGTTCTACTTGCTGTCTCACAATCATTTTGGCATGAGGTGTGTTGCCCTGATTTTTATTTTCCAGGAACTCTGCTGTATCAAAGCTTTGCAATTATTTTTTCTCTTAAGTGAATGCTTAATTCTCTCCCTCTTATCTTCTATTTAACTCGCAACTGCTTTTATTTCCTTCTTAGCACCCGAATTGGACATAGAAAAATCATTTCAAACAGGGGAAAAAAAAAGTAGTGTGGCAATTAGCATGTAATATTATTTTGGCCACTCATTTTATTAGATGGCCTGGCTTTGATATTGAAAAAGGAAAATGGGAAAAAGAATTAGGTGAAGTTTGCACATTCCAGGTCAGGTAAGACAACGTCATCTGACATGGGAGCCTCAGACCTCATGTGGTAACCTGAGGCAACACAACTTCAGAATTAAATTACAAAAAGTGAAGCTTATCACAATTGTTTACAACCTCACATCAGACAACTACATTAACAAGACTTTGAGGCACATAACAGAACAAATCCAAAGAACTGTGATTTCAGAACACTGGGTCAATGTAGGAAACATAAAAGCATCTTACAAAAATGAGTAGGGAGGTTTGACTTCTGGGAGGGAGAGTTGGAGTTTTGTTTGTCTGGGTTTTTACTGCTAATACACAATTCATTCAGTAGGATCTGTGAGCAGTTTGGTAAGTTATAAAGTCTCACGAAGACAAAAACGTTGTTATTGGTAACATTTACACCGAATAACAATACCATCATGTAAGCAGACACTTTTTCCCCACTAACAACAGGTATTGCAACCTAAAGAGAAGGTCATACCAAGTAATCAACAGAACAGGCTCTTATACAAGTTATTGCTCAACCTGACATGCTCATGAGTGTCTTTTTTCTGACCCCAGTGTCAGAATAATTTAGAAGGTTTTACAAAATGACAAGGGAACAGTAGATTATGTGGAACTCAGATGAAAGGAGGCACACTTTAGATAGGCTAATAAAGCTGCTTGCACCTCACAATCTTGCACAACTCTTAGAAGTCTCATTTCTCAGCTTCAGATGTGAAACAGAAAACTGGTTTATTAACATTTTAAGAATTTTTAGTCTGCTTCCTAGATTATTTTGAGTGCTTCAATCCTTACTGACAAGTTTCACACAAGTTAAGTGCCTATTTCATTAAAAACAATTAAATGAACCTAAAACCAAGTTGGCTCATTAAAAAGAAAAGAAATTTTGCAAGTTTCAGCCTAGAGCAACTCTGGAAAAGTTATGAGTCTCTCTGTTAATGCGTAGGTTGAAAATGCTGATGTAGTGTGATAGAGTAGCACAGAACCAAAGGGTGTATCTACATGGCACACTGCGATACTGTTCTCAAATACCTGAACTAGCTCCAGAACTTAGAACTTCAGCAAAGTGAGGCTCCTGGGAATCACCCTGAAAAAGCACTAAAACTCTTATTTCTGCCTGAGTTTCCTTAACACAGAATAGCACTAGAGTTATGTAGGTATGCACAAAGTACCCTAACAGCAATCTAGTAACAACAGCACAATGAGATACTACTTTAAGATGAATCAGATCACTCCCTTGCTTAAATACTTCATCTCTTTTTAGTTTTGTGATGTACTTTGGATCCCCTCTCATTGAAACAAATGCTAGGCTAAACAAACTAAGCTCTTTTAGTCTCCTCCCTGCAAGACAGGTTTTGCATTTACTGGAAGTCAGCAGTGTTTCTCTAGTCTTGTCCATTTTGACTTACCAGAGACTGCAATAACATGGTGGAACAAGTAAGCCGAACCAATACATGGCATTTCTGGCCTTTCCTTGTACAAGAAAGCTACAATAATTTATGTATACCTTTATAACAGTTATTACCAAATGGCCTCTTGGGCCTAGAAAGTAATGGCTGAAGAGTTTTACTTCAAAAATACTGTCTTGAACACATTCCAAAAGCTCACTACTTGTAATAATTCATCTCCTCTTTGGCAATTAAATGAAGTCGTGGTGACTTTATTCCATCCTAATTGTTTTCATTTAATACATTAACACCAAATCACTTTGCTCCTTAGTTTTCCTGGAACATCAAGCAGTCACAGAAACCGTTAGAGCCAGTTTAAAAGGACGCAGTTAGTCTGCAAGGGAGCAGCTGCTTTATAAGTTAAAAGATTTCCATTTTATGTGGGAAACATCATTACCACTATTACCTTATTTCAGAAGAAAAGCTGACATTCAAAGCATCTCCCAACACAAGAACAGCACTCCTTTCAATGTTGGGAAACAAGCATAAAATATGATTGCTCATATAGATCTGTGAGCAAAACAGGTTGATAAAGGGCTAAAAGAGGTTCCAGACTGCCCTAGAGCACCTGGACGTTGTTTGTTCCCTACTCACACCGTGCAAATAAGAGACGGGGACACAGGTGCACACACAGACACAGACACACAGACACAGACACACACACAGAGACACACACACACAGACACACACACAGAGACACACACACACAGACACACACACACACACACAGACACACACACACACACACAGACACACACACCCCCCCCAC